CTGAAAGAAGAGTCACGATATGGAAGCAAAAATGAGCGGTGCATGAAAAAACACTGATTTGACGACTGGACAGACTGTGGATTGTTGATTTTACACTGTAAGAGGATCCCAGGACACGGCAGGTTACATTTTAATGCCCCAGTAACATTATTTTTAGCAGGATTTACATATGAGGTCCGTGAAACAACAGCCTCGTTATGTACAGCATGCAAATAACCTGAAGGATAAACGCACAGATCAGACTGTGTAAATAAACACCACGTTATTCATGCAGGTGGAACATCACCTAGATCTGAGGAGAAGCATATTCTGCATCACTGAGGGAAAAAAAACAAGTAACAACAAATGGGTGCCATCAGAATGAGAGTCCAAACAGCTGATAAAAACATCACAATAATCCACAGCACTCTAGTCCATCAGATTTCTCTCCTGATTCACACCAGAACACTTTTTCACCGGAGGAAGCGTTATTATGGATTATAGACTCTTGTGACTCTAGATTATTGTGATGTTTTTATCAGACTCTCATTCTGACGGCACCCATTCACTGCACAGCATCCATTGCTGAGACACTGATGCAGTGCTACATTTCTCCAAACCTGATGAAGAAACAAACTCATCCTAGTCTCGGATGGCCTGAGGATGAGCACATTTTAATTCCTGGCTGAACTATTTCTTTAAGAGTATTGATGAATCTGATGTAATATACATTGAGCTGTTTTCACGTCTCACCTGATCCACAGACCACAAACACAAAGAGCGCGAGGAGCCACGGACCCACCGGCGACTTCTCCTCATTCACCACACGCTGCAGGACAAACACATTCATACACACGTCACTAACACACACACATCTACTGCTCAAACACATGCAATCACAAGCTGAAGGGTACGAGGTTTGTGCCAAAACACAGTGGACTAAACATTAGTCATTGTGTAATTGTTAAGATAAGTTATGTTGACGTTCAATGTTAACACTGTTCTGCTGAGATTATGGTGCTCCAAATGTGCCAAAAAAGCATTTTGCACAGTACATTTGTCTATTTATGTGTTCTAGTCTGCCTGGGAAGTTCATATTTATGTATCTAAGTCGTAATTACGACTTTAAATCACTTTGGTCCGAGTAAGATTGCGAAGTGCCTTTTCCTACAAAAACTAAATCGGCAAGATTTTAACCTTACTTCTACAAAATGATGCATAAAGAATGAGCATCAGTGCGTTTTTGCTTTATTCAGTTTTTATTTAATTTATAAAGTTGCTGTTACTTTAATCATTATATAAAGAGCTCATTTGCAAAAACCGATAAACGGCACTTTAAAAAAAAAAACAACAACAAAAAACACTGATTGCCGAGCATTATTCTCCACATATAATATGTTTGGGGCTGGACAATAATTCAATATCAATATGTATCGCGATATAATTCTTTTCAATAACGGTGATATGATTTTTAAACACATTTCCGATATTTCGATATACATTACCAGTGTTTCCCATACATTGATTTATTTGTGACGTTGAATAAACATGAGCGCTGCACGTTTCAAAATCATAACGCGTCGCGGGTGTTTTATATGAATGTATCTCTGAAGGGAACCGACTGTCTTCAGAATAGTTTAGATGGCATGTTTATCTGATAAAGTAGCGTTCATGAGCGGAGCTGCTGTGTTTACAGCCGTTACCGGAGAAACCGCTAGTTCTGCCGCTCTCACAGCGCCTCCTGCTGGCAGACAATCAGTTTGCATTTTCAATAATAAACCCGTCTCCAGCAACATGCTTTTGTTGTTGCTCTATTCTTTTGTTTTCTGAAGCAACTCGGAGCATGTTTCATACTCGTTATCCTGGTTAATGCACGCTTCAGTCTATAAGAATAATCAGCCTACACGACCAGCCAAAGGTTTTTGGACAGTAAGATTTTTAGTGTTTCTTAAAGAATTATCTTCTGCTCACCAAGCCTGCATTTATTTGATCCAAAATGCACCAAGAGCAGTAACATTTTGAAATATTTTTACTATTTAAAACAGCTGTTTTCTATGTGAATATGTGTTAAACTGTAATGTATTTCATAAATTTTGGCCGTATCGTCCAGCCCTAAACACGTTTTGTCAAAAAAGCCGGTTTTGTTCACTTTCAAGGCATCGTGAGTTCACGTTTCACTGCAGAAGCCGACAAGCGCCATGTTGTTTTTGTACAGAAGCCGATAAAACCATTTCAGCGAATCAGCGCGCTGCATTCAGGTCAGGTGACAAGGCTACGTTCACTCTGAAAAGACGCGCTAGCTGAGAGGAGTCTCGTCAAAGCTGGCTAAAAGTGATCGGGGATCATTTCGACGAACTTGATGAACCTGTGAATCTTCTTCAGGGCGAAAAAGCTAAATAAAAGCTGAAAAAAACATACTTTCAATGAACTTTAATTTAGTAAATTACCTGTATTTGTTTACGTTATTATTACTTAATCAAAACAACCCAACTGCAGTTGGATTGATATTACTTGGAATGCGCAATAATAAAAAAAAACAATTTCTGAAAAAAAAATAAAATAAAATGGAGTTATCGGTGAACTCTTCATATATTCTACAGTAATTGCACAATACTATCGCATAATTCATCGAACATTTGTCTGGTTTTTAGTAATGTTCTAAAAATGTTACCACATAAACATTATCTGTAGATCGTTAACGGCATGTGTTTTCCCCCCAAAACATTTTAATTGAACGTTCGTCTCAAATTTTTAAATGTTGCTACTTATTTCAGAACGTTCAGAAAACATACAACAGTAACGTTCCCATAATGCTTGCAACATGATACAAACGTTTGCATAACCAAGAACAAACACATGATTGGACATTATAAATGTTTAGAAAACAACATTCGTTTTCATACCTGCATATCATATTTTTGGCTGAGAAAGATAAGGTTTGGGACACTCATTATTGACACATGTAAATGTTGTGTTTGTTTACCTGGATATCTGTCAAATGTGCTGCAGAACGTTCACTGAGCGCTGAAACTTATAAAGCACAAAACTGCAACAGCAAACATAGACAAATGTATTGCAAAAAGCAAAAAATATTTTTAGCATAAATGTAACCCCATATTTTGAGAGCCTGATGTGTGCGTTTGTAACTACTGTAGCATAAAGTAATGGAATACAATACATATTCCATAATAAAATGGTAATAACATGTTTATTGGTATATTGTGTGTGCGCAGTGTGTGTATTTATGTGCATCGAGTATATCGTTTATATTTGATGATAATCGTTCGTTCGTGCGCGAGAGCCGGTACCGTGGTTTTCTGCACGTGTCCTCTCTGTGTGATCGACTTGCTGTGTTTCTCGTTCGCTACTTTCATCCGCTGCACCGCCGACATGATGCTGGAACGCGTCGCGGGAGGCGGAAGATCGCGCTGGGCCGGTAAACGGTGCGGATTTGACCGGTGATTCGGTTCCGTTCCAGTCGCTCGAGACGAGCTATCACGTGACCCGGGGCAGGCCCCGCCTCCTCGTTACGTCACACTGCTGAGCCGCTTCCCTCACTGACAAGATTTTGTTTTTTTTTGTTGAAAAACTAAAACTCCGAAACGTTGTGCAATTGTGTAATTCTCCAGCGACAGAGTATATATATATACTGAGATCTCTGGATGCTTTCAACTGATTTCTATTGAAGTGTCAGCAACTGAAGTGCAGCTCAAACTATTTCAAATATAGTGAATTAAGCTACAAACTCCATCATAATGCACTGTTTCCATCTTGCATGTATTTTGAGGTGCAGCGCGTCATATTAAATGTGTTTCTAGATTTATCTGTGGAATGGAAATATGGATATTTTAATTGTAAACATCATACTTCTTTTGCTTATTTCAGTTAATGTCATAAAACTAGCGAGCTACGCCATAGCTGACCGTTTCGACCGATCAGATCATTTACACTGGAATCGCGAATTATTTGATTCGGATCGGAACTACGGAGCGGGATTGCAAATCTTTTGATCTACAGGTGCATCTCAATAAATTAGAATGTCGTAGAAAAGTTCATTTATTTCAGTAATTCAACTCAAATTGTGAAACTCGTGTATTAAATAAATTCAATGCAGAACTACGGAGCGAGTTCGTGAATCTTTTTATTCAGATCGGAGCGGGTTTGTGAATCATTTGGTTTAGATCAGAATTTCGGAGAGTGAATCACGAATCATTTGATTCAAATCAGGCACGCATCGTGAATCTTTTTTTCCCGATTTCTTTTTTATTATTATTATTATTAAACAGTACAACATCAAACCATTAAGGCAGTCAGTTTAAGTTAGTCTATATTTTCGTAGCAAACGTTGGGCTGGTTACTGTACCCAGTATGAGTTAAACATGGGTTATTCTTAGCGATTATTGGGTTATTTCTATAATAACACATTCATTTAAAAAAATGTTTTTAAGATTTCAGCGGTGATCAGTGGAACAGAAGATACAGTAAGTTAATATATCTGCATGAGTAGATCCATGTATGTGTCAGAATACACTTAAAAATAAGAATGCAATAAGTGAGTCATTTATTCAATCGATTCTTTCAGAAGTAAATTCATTGGGAAACACTGCTGTGTGCTGCTGCAGAGATGCTCAACATGGATTTGTTTGGATCTATTATCTTTAGTGAAATAGAGCAAAAAAGGACAATTTTGTCTCTACAGTTTAAATCACTTAACCACTTTTCTTGTTTATTGAATTGTTGCGCTGACACAAAGAAGCCACAGACGAAAGTTATAACCAAGCCATTCATATAATCGCTTTAAATGCATGTGTGTCCATGGAAGACTGCATATACTTTTATAATGAAGTATCTATATTTGTTGCTTCGCAGTGGCAGAGCTCAGTAACAACCTAATCTGACTAATGGCAAAATCAGTGTTATAGAGATGAGTTATACAGTAAGTTACAGATTCCTGAAGCAGCTGCTGTAACTTCTTATTGAAGATTGATCAGTTTACATGCCAATCAGAAGTACCAGCCTCAGTCCAGAACACAAGTCTGAATCCAGATTCATAATTCTTGACTGATTTTGTTGTCACATTAGAGTTTGATTCTGGATATCTCTTTTTATCACTCCATAAATCAGAAAGTACTGTCAACAGACAGAAAACAAACACATTTCCACCATGTTTTTAGGAGTGAAATGTTGTATAAATCAGTGTGAATGAAATATGAACAAACCTTCAGAATATAGAGAGGAATAAAACTGTACAGTTTGGTGTTTGTAAGAGAAACAAACTCTTTAAAGATTGAAATCTATACACAAACAGAGAAAGATAATTTATTTATTATTATTATTTATTTAAGCATCAAAATACCCTAAATGTGAACATTTTCTATTGGGAATCTGTGGTTTCATTGGAAACACATAGAGTTTGAGAAAGCTTTGAAAAACAACAACAGCAGCTCAGATTTAGATGTTAAATAACATTTATAGACATCACACAAACACGTTTAAACTTGTGTTAAATACTGAGAAAAAGTTCCCACTCACAAAAACTTTGAACAGAAGCTCTGTCACGTCAAACATGCTAAACACGGTAAACACAACTGACTGGACAATCAGCCAGGGGTCACACACACACACACACACACACACACACACACACACACACACGCACCATCTGCTGAGAAAACCTCAGGATCTTAAAAAGACAAACATGTCAAGTTCTGTGTTCTGCATAAAGGGCCGAGCGCTGAGTTTAGCCGCTGCAGTCGGTCGCGTGTCACATCATATCATTATAGACGTTTGGACAGAAATAATCATCCAACAGCCACTAAAACAACACAAACTCCAACAGAAGAGCCGGATCTGTGATGCTGCAGGTCTGGTCTGAGATCAGCCGCTCACCTGCACACACACACACACACACACACACACACACACACAGAGAAAACACATCAGAACTAACAGGACAACTGAAGAGTTCAGGTGCAAAAGCCTCTAAGTGCCATCTGAAATTTATCTCTAAAATGTGACCCTGGAGCACAAACCCAGTCATAAGGGTCAATTTTTCGAAATTGAGATTTATGCATCATCTGAAAGCTGAATAATAAGCTTTCCATTGATGTATGGTTTGTTAGGATCGGACAATATTTGAAAATCTGGAATCTGAGGGTGCAAAAAAATCTAAATATTGAGAAAATCATCTTTAAAGTTGTTCAAATGAAGTTCTTAGCAATGCATATTACTAATCAAACATTAAGTTCTGATATATTTACGGTAGGACATTTACTAAATATCTTCATGGAACATGATCTTTACTTAATATCCTAATGATTTTTGGCATAAAAGAGAAATGTATAATTGTGACCCATACAATGTATTGTTGGCTATTGCTACAAATATCCCCCAGCGACTCAACACTGCTTTTGTGCTCCAGGGACACATATGAGCATTTTTCTCCGGCTCTCATGTGTAGGTTCAGTAATTTCCCTTTAATGGCAATGAATAGGTTCTTTACTTGCCATTGAAGTGAAATAACTGAACATCAACATAGGAGAATGCTAATTTTAGAAGACAATTTCAGAGGCACTTGAACTCTTGAAGTGATAAACAGCTTTACTTCTGCAAAGAGAGCGTCAGCATCCCAGTCCGCTGATGACCCCGATCCGGTCCACCTTCATCCCGAAGCAGCCACGCGCCACGCCCTTCCTGCTCCGCCCCTGCAGCTTCCTGTGAGGGCCCAGGAGATCCAGGAACACGCGTGACGGGGGCGGGGCCTCGTCTGCTGACCCCTCGCTGACCTCTGGATGAGCCAATAGCAGAGAGCTGATCTTCAGCCCGAACAGATCCTGCAGAACCTGATTGAAACACACACACACATTTACTGAATACAGCATGCAACACTGCTCCTTCATAAGAGATACTGAGAGACCAGGAGTTATTTGCTCTGTATTTAGTCCCTTAAACTGAGAAACCTGTAAGATTTGTGTCCCTGCAGCACAAACGCAGTGTTGAGTCTCTGGGGTATATTTGTAGCAATAGCCAACAATACATTGTATGGGTCACAATTATACATTTCTCTTTTATGCCAAAAATCATTAGGATATTAAGTAAAGATCATGTTCCATGAAGATATTTAGTAAATCTCCTACCGTAAATATATCAAAACTTAATGTTTGATTAGTAATATGCATTGCTAAGAACTTCATTTGGACAACTTTAAAGATGATTTTCTCAATATTTAGATTTTTTTGCACCCTCAGATTCCAGATTTTCAAATATTGTCCGATCCTAACAAACCATACATCAATGGAAACATTACAGTTGTGGTCAAAAGTTTACATCCCCCTTTCAGAATCTGCAAAATGGTCATTATTTTACCAAAATAAGAGGGATCATACAAAATGCATGTTATTGTTTATTTAGTACTGACCTGAATAAGATATTTCACATAAAATATGTTCACATATAGTCCACAAGAGAAAATAATAGTTGAGTTTATAAAAATGACCCCGTTCAAAAGTTTACATCCCCTTGATTCTTAATACCGTGTTGTTATCTGAATGATCCACAGCTGTGTGTTTTTTAGTTTAGTGATAGTTGTCATGAGTCCCTTGTTTGTCCTGAACAGTTAAACTGCTGCTGTTCTTCAGAAAAACCCCTCAGCTCCCACAGATTCTGTGGTTTTCCAGCAGTTTTGTGTATTTGAACCCTTTCCAACAATGACTGTATGATTTAAGATCCATCTTTTCACACTGAGGACGACTGAGGGACTCATACGCAGCTATTACAGAAGCTTCAGATACTCGCTGATGCTCCAGAAGGAAAAACCATGCATTAAGTACTTTTTGAATTTGAAGATCAAGGGTAAATTGAACTTATTTTGTCTTCTGGGAAACATGTAAGTATCTTCTGTAGCTTCTGAAGGGCAGCACTAAATGAAAAAATATGATATTTAGGCAAAATAAGAAAAATGTACACATCTCCTTTCTGTTCAAAAGTTTTCACAGTATTAGGAAATCAAGGGGATGTAAACTTTTGAACGGGGTCATTTTTATAAATTCAACTCATATTTTTATAAATTCAATTATTTTCTCTTGTGGACTATATGATATGTGAAAGTCTTTTATGTGAAATATCTTATTCAGGTCAGTACTAAATAAACAATAACATGCATTTTGTATGATCCCTCTTATTCTGGTAAAATAATTAACATTTTGAACTTTTGACCTCAACTATATCTATTCAGATTTCAGATGATGTATAAATCTCAATTTCGCAAAATTGACCCTTATGACTGGTTTTGTGCTCCAGGGTCACATACATTTATATTCATTTAAAAAGTAGTATGCTTGCATGCAACTCCAAATTTAGGCAGTATCCCACAATGCAATAAAAATAAAAATAATTATTATTTATTTCTGACACCACTCAGTGTCTCACTTTTTCAGCAGCATTGTTTCCATTCATTTCTTCCACTGGGTTTTTTTTAAATGGCCATTAATGCATTATAAGCCATGAAGCAAACCAAGCAGTTTGATTTGAAGCAAAAACGTATTTGACGAAATGAATTGCTGGCTTTAAAGAACTACAATCCCATGATGCAGTGCAATGCTAATTATATAATCAAACAATAGAGAAATCCATTGTTGAGTTAAATATGTTGATTATAGCTGTAGAAACAATATAATTTACATTTATTTTTAAATATGCAATGGCGAAGAGCAAATTCCGTTGATTACCAATCTCAGAGCTCACAAATTTAGGTTCTAAAGTGTTTTGAAAAGTTATTTTAATGTTTCTAAAACGTCCAGCTTTCTTGTCGTGATTATAACATTATTTGAAGGTTACAAAAATGTGTTTTTTTCTTTAATGCTCTATTAATTTTGCTTTCAACTGAACTATGTTATTTGAACGCTTCTTTTTTTATTTCTAAGAACGTTTTCCCTCAACATTTTAAGAATGTTCAATAAGTGTGAATAACATCATAAGGACATTCCAAGAACGTTTTCTCTCAATGTCACGAGAACGTTCATCAGATATTAATAAAACTATAACATAGGCTACCAAAATGTTTCTAAACATTCTGCTAACTTTATTTTTGCCCAAAATGTAACATTACTTGAGAGTTTTTAAAAAATATTCTAATAACTTTTAAACGTCCAGTTTTCTTATCATGATTAGAATGTTATTTAAAGGTTACAAAGACATTCTAGGAACATTTTCTCTCAACATATTGACAAATAATAATGTTATAAGAATGTTCCATAAACATTACTTTGAAAGTGTTTTCTCGCAGCTATTCAGACTAAATCCGCCCATTACTGTGTGATTGGGATAGTCAACACTGAACAAAGACGCTCACCATATATCAGTCTCAGTGGCGTAGATCGTCTCAGGTTACTTATGTAACCATGGTTCCCGCACACTATGATTGGACGGTTGCATTAAGGAGGGTATGATGTCACTGCTGACCTCATCAGCTGGTTGTACTTTGCCAAGCGCTCGGATCGGCAGGGGGCGCCGGTCTTGATCTGATCACATCAGAACTCGGGTTAGTGCGACTTATTCTCATTGAAAGTGCATTCATTCGGAGCACAAATACAGCATGATGGGTACCTGTCCTGTGCAGAGACCGACCACCAGGTCAGCGATGAAGGTGTCCTCCGTCTCACCGGAGCGATGGCTGACCATCACACCCCAGCCGTTAGACTGAGCCAGCTTACAACTACACACACACAGAGAGAGAGAGAGAGAGAGAGAGAGAGAGAGACAATGTTTTAATTTGAAGCACTTTGTTTGCCAAGAATTAAAAATGAATTGTTAAATTTTCCTTTGAGTACATTTTAAATGTATTATGTTTAAAAAAAAAAAAAAAAAAAAAACCCAAACACTTTCTTCATAGTCTCAAAAATATATATATATTTTTTTTTAAATGTAACAAATTAAAGGTTTCTTTATTTCATTCAAATAGACATACTTTGATTAATAAGATGTAATTTAACCATAATAAACAATCCTGAAAAAAAAAAAAAAA